TTTGCTGCAGTTCTTTTTTGTTTATATGTGTGCTTTTTTGTTTAAATGTAAGTACAAGGATAAATGAATGAATAAATAAATATTATTCTCCCGCTATCCCACAGTGTTTTGTACTTATATATGTAGTGTGTAATAGTTGCTAAGTTGTGTTTGCACATTGGCTGGTTTTGTGTGGTTTTTGACAGTAGTGCTTGATTTTGAGTAAAGTTAAAATAGTTTTGGGTCAAATGTTTGGTTTTGCAAGACAAGTTGAAGGTTTTGTGAGTGTAGCTTGAATTTTAGAATTTGTGTTTAGTGTTTTGAGACAAAGAGATGAGATTTTAGGAAATGTGTTTTAGCAATTCAGAAAAACTGTAACATTGTGTATGACGAGTCACAGTCTGTGTTCTGTATTTTCAATAGTACTCCATTTACCAGTAAACAAAAAAAAATACTGTGCAAGTAAGACTTTTATGCAGAAACATATTATAACAGCAACAGGGCAGCTTTTAATTCCACAGTCAGAGGAGAGCAGGGAGGCAGTGACACAGTGAAACTGCTCCAGCAGGGGGCAGTGAAGTGCGTAAGAAGAGCATAAAATTAAAGCCAGAGCCCTTAGAGCTCAGTAACCCCCCACTGGTACATACTGTATGTACACAAGAGAAAACAGACATTGGCAAATACTCTCAAAATACTATATTTTGTGGTAACAAACACTTCATATGAAATATATCATACATACAAATCAACTAGAATTTTTCCGTTAATATAAATGAGAAAGCGACAGTTCAGACCACCTGTATAATACCTCACATTTACATTTATCTTATTTAGCAGATGCTTTTTTCAAATAGCACCTTGATCATGGTTCAGATGCACAACAGCCATGAATGTGTGTTTCTCACTGGCTGATTCTTACTGTCACACTGTAATGTGACAGAGCTGCATGCCATTTAAATACAGCTCACATCACTGTAAGATGCTCCTCTCTGGTGATGATCCCTCCCCATCACTGGAGTATCTGTGTGTCCCTCACAGCTCTCATCCTGAGCAGTAGCTCCCCACATGTTGAGGAGCCTCTCTGTGTTGCTGCCCCCTACTGGAAAATGACAGATAAGCATTAACATCAATTTGGCTTCATTTACTGCTACAGGATCAGGAAATGAACCAGACAGATTAATCTGGGAAACCTCTTTAGTTCAGTTTCATCTGGTGTATAATTTGAAGTTAAATTAGCCGCATGTATGATGCTATAATAAGGAAACACACGACATATATGAAGTATCAGACTAAATTTATCACAGCTCATGTTAGAACAGATTGTCCAAACTCACCTCTCTGTGCTTCAGGGCGACTGAGCTGTAGACCACATCGCTGGCTGGGGTTACAGCAGGACGGTGTGAAGAACATCTAGAGGACACCTGCTGAGAGCATTTAGCTGCTTACAGTGGAGGTACAAGACCAACCTTCGTACAGAAACCACAAATCCATAAACTCCCAAACCTCCCATGTGAATCACTGTGAAATATCAGGGTATCATGGTACTTCTTGGTACATTACAGCTAATTCTGATACACATGGATCTGAGAGATCAGCTGAGGTGTAGATGTTCCTGCCCAGTCAGTACATTATTGATATACGTGTCACTCTCATTGTGATACTGGTCCTATGCCTGAACCAAACACTGATTTACATGAAACCATCTTACCTCTGGGTCTGACAGGACAATGGAGCTGTAGGTGACATCAGCACCAGGCTCCTCAGAGGCCTGAGAGAGGATCACATTATGACCATGTATCTACAGTATACAGAACCACCTGTCCATTCTTTGACTGACAGCAGTGGAACATTATTGTTGGTGAAATTGGTGATAATCTGATGTATCAGTTAATTTTTTGTAGCTTTACAGATTTTATTAAATTTGAGTTCTTTTTTATTTCCATTTTCAAAACATTTTAACTGCAATGTAACAAATGGATTATGAAAATGTAGTACATAAGATGCAGTTGCTTCATATATTGATAATATTACACTCATACATTTTGATACGCAGAATCAGAAGTATCATTGTATATATTTTATTCCTTTGTTTACCTGATCTGTGGGGGCTCTTCTGATGATGCCAGTTCTGTCTACAGCCGCATATTCATAGTCTGGGTTCAACTTGAAAAAAGTTGCTTGTCAGCTTTCAAAACAATCACTCCTCAATCAAATTTTACATCATCCGTTTAAATAGAAATGAATTACTCAGTGAGTACATTTGTACGTTTTGATACACAGGCTGCTCTCAGAAGTATCATTGTATATATTTTATTCCTGTGTTTACCTGATCTGTGGGGGCTCTTCTGATGATGCCAGTTCTGTCTACAGCTGCATATTCATAGTCTGGATTCAACTAGAAAAAGTTGCTTGTCAGCTTTCAAAACAATCACTCCTCAAGTCAAATTTTACATTATCCTTCTAAATATAAATGAATTACTCAGTGAGTTTGGTTTGTTTTTGTTTTCCTATAAAAGACAAAACCCTACAGAATTTTCCAGAGTGTCTTCCCTTATTAAACAACTTACTGTCAATTCTGTGCTTCCTGGATGTTGGTTCCTGACCATTTGTTTCTCTACAAGGAAAGAAATGAGGAAAAAACGAAACAGAAGATGATTCTGCTCACATCAGTGTGTCTGCTCATCAGTGTGTCTGCTGATCCGGTTAATTTCCGGTGTAACAAACACAGAGTCATTCCCTCTTCATTATATCTGAAAATATTATCCAGTCTAATAATTGTACGACCAGAGTTGGGTAATTCGGTTCAGACCGGGAATTTTTTTTCAACCAACTAGCTGAATACTCTGTAACTGTGACTCTTTCTGCTCAACTGATTGGTTGAAACAAAATCCCGGTCTGGTCTTTTACTCTCTGGACCTGAATTACCCAACTCTGTGTAAGACTCTCTACAAAAATGTATGAGAGCAACCAGGAGTTTGGGGTAGTGTAGGATTTATTTGGGGAAAACAAACTCGGGGACACAGAACAGCAAGCATGAAAGACTTCTATGACGCTAATGTTCAGACTGGGGAATCACTCACAGAAACTCACTTAAATACACCAAATCAATTAAGTACACAACAAGAAGCAGCTGATAACAAGAGGATTCCACATGAGGTAAATTAAGGGGTATGGCACACAGGAGGATAGGAACAATCGGGACGTGACAGAATGAGGCGATGCCCATGAATCGAGTTAAGTACTCAACCTCATTGAGGCTGCGGGATAAATTGAAAACCTTGCTGTTCTCTCCTGATGGAATTAAATTGTTCGAATCTGCCTGTGTGTCACTGTTTGCCTTTATCAAAGTGAAATAAAGAGCAAACAGTGTCTGATCCATATCACAGTGTCTCTGTCTTATGGTTTGTAAAACCCGGTCACCACGGCGCTGTCCCCCCCGTAAATCCCGTTACGTAACGCACCCCCTTCCCAAATCAGTACTGGCCTGGATTTCCTGTTTGCTCCATTGCGGTTTTTACTTCTGTTTTTAGTCTGTGTTCTCAAAGGGGCCGTGACCATGTTTTGTGTTTTAATGTTACTGTATAACCTGTGTGTCAGAATGCTGCTGTCTGTGTCTCTGTCCAGCCGTCTTTGGAAAAGGATAAAAGCATGAAGTTATAGCTGCTGCTTACAGGAGTGCAGAGGGACAAGCATCACTGCTCAGACAGTCAGGTCACTTATACACCGTCTGCATTAGCAAATACTCACTGTGTTTGTCCCGCACTTTCCATGTGATGATGATGATGATCAGCAGCAGCACCAATAAGCCCAGTCCTACATACAGAGCCAGCTGGACCAAGGAGCTGAATAAGAGGGTGGATTTGAACAGTAAAGTCTTACATGCTTTATAGTAACATGGTTCAGCCACATCTGAACTATTACACAGGATACATGTGAGGAACAGGAGAAATTAACAAAGAGCATGAGATTAGCTGGAAAATGTAAACTGCCAATTTCAGTATGATTATTAGCAGGGAAACACATAACTGGTGCACAATTACACATTTGGGGTATAGAGCAATATGCCCAACAACTTCTTCCCATAATGAAAGAAATACATTTGTATTTTATTTCATTGATGCTGTTATGACAAGAAATCACCAGGCATTTGAACCTTTATACAGCTAATACATGCACACCAGTTATGTACATCACTGTTTATCACATAACATTACACTATTTTCTAAAATCCATCCGTCCGTCTGTCTGTCCATCCATCCATCCATCTGTCTTCCAAACAGTCCTCCAGCTTATCTCCAGCAGCATAGGGCACAAAGCAGGTGTCACATCCAGGCAGTGCAGGAAGGCAGACATAGGGGTAAACGAAGAAAGGGCTTTACTTAAAGCAAAATGGGTGCAGGACAGAACAAAGCAGACTGCAAGGGGTCAAACAGGAAGGCTGGCATGGGGAAAGCACTGGTCAATTAGAGGACTAGGGAGCACAAGACCAGAAGCACTTAAATGGATTAACATGGGAGGACAACCAGTGGCATAAGGAGTGAGACACAGGAGGGCTGGAATGTTAGAAGGGAAAACAGGAAGGAAGGAAGAGCGTGATAGCAGGGTCTCACCCTGGATGGGATGCCGTATCAGGGATATTATGACTAAGGAAAATAAACACAGTATCCTTATTTTCATAAAAGTAATATGCATTTCCCATTACTGTATGATCAGTCAGACGCTGTAGCATGACGAGCTGAATACTAACCTCTGTTCCTTATCATTGGCTCCTGTGGGGGTCGATCCAGGAGCAGAAGGCTTGATGGTCACTGAGACAGAAGCAGAACCTGGAGTAAGGACTGTGGTTTCTGATTAGGGGGGAAAAGGAAAAACTGTGTTCTGTCAGGCAGGAAAGACTCATAAGGAAAAGGTCATTTATAAAACATTATTCTAAAAAGGATAATGAAAATTTTTCAATAGAGTAGCTGGTTGGATACAGAATAATAAATTTAGGTTATGACCAAAGTGTTCATCACTGACAGTGAACAGATGAGATTAATTATTTAATTTATACACCAAAATGTATTTATGACTGAACTGGATCAGTTATTACAGAGTACAGCTGTAACACTGGCCTTTGCTGGGATTAGAAACCAGCTACAGACACATCAGCCAGTCTGACAGCTTTAGTAACGATTCAAAGGCAGAAAAATGCCTGAAAAACATTTGCATGACACTACAAACCAATATTTTATATTTCAACAATTGATATTGATAAATATGGGAGTTTAAAGCATTTCCTCGTGATTAGCTGCCATCACATCAGACATCTACAGCAGGCTAAAAGCACGGGACGTGGCCTTCAGGTCTGGTGGCCCTGTGGCCTTAAGGACAGCTAGAGCCGCTCTGTCACAGGCCATGAGAGCCGTAAGGGCTTATGCACAAAAACTTCCGTGGGCTTTTCTACAGCACCAGGGACACACGATTTATCTATAAGTTATAAGTCTCGGCGCACCTCCCCACTGCCCCTCAAAGCCCTAGTGTTGTGTGAAATGTGGTGTTGAGCCCAGGGGAGCAATAAGGGCGTGCCAGGAGTGGGCCCCCCCCCCGCACCGGGGCCAGATCCCCGACTGGCCCCGATTAGTCCCCATCCCCGACCCCGCACAGCCGGCAGGTGTTCAGGGGCGAGGTGTTCAGGGGCGCCACAGGCAGCCCGGCAGCAGGAAACCCCCCCCCACCCCCCCCCCAGGCGCAGACCGGGAGACTCCCGCCCCACCACGCCCGATGAGACCCCAGCTAGCAGCCAAGGACAGGACAACCCCAGGCCCCCCGGCAAACGGGGAGCCAGTGCGGCCAGGCGGGGTGACCCCCACCCCCCGGCCACCCCAGGTCCCCCCCAAGCAAGGCGGAGCCCCCCCCCCAACCACCCCACAGTGCCCAAGGGCCCGACGCCGGCAGCACCAATGGCAGACACCGACCGGCCCCCACCAGGTGACCGGGCCCGGGCAGGCCAGGCCCTACCGCATGCAGGCGACCACCCGCCCGGGAGACCACCTGCCCAGCCCACAGAGCCCACGCCCCAAATCCACCCACCCCACCACAGCTGCGCAGGCAAAACCCAGAGGCCCCCCCCAGCACGCCACCCACCTGGGGGGGGCAGAATCCCTCATCACCTGCACCGTCCCCCACAGGCCAGGCCAGCGAACACCCAGAGACACCAGTACTGTGAGAAGCATGCAAGATTTATTTGTGTCTATATTAATGTTAGTGAGGTCCCCAAGCAGCAGAGTGAGGGGGATGGTGGGATGGGATGCCCTACAGTAGGTGTGTCGATAAGTCTTCACAAATCCTTTGCCATAATTCGTTGACCGGTGTGCAGTACCAGAAAGCATGCAGATAATTATCTGGTGCGTCCTTCTTACAAGTTATGCATATGCAAGTACAGTGGTACCTCAGAATTCGAAATTAATCCGTTCAGAACTCCGGACCGAATCCTTAAAAGTTCGAGTTCTGATTGAATTTCCCCCATAAGAAATAATGGGAAACCAATTAATTGGTTCCCGGCCCCAAAAAATTACACCGAAATATGTTTTTTTTTTAGCATTTAAATGCAAAATGAACCGGACAAAACAAGAAAAGCATATACTGTACTAAACACATCTAAGCACATTTATCAAAACAGTAATTTGTAAAGTAAGAAAATAAATGTATCCAAACAATGTGTAAAGTTAAAAAAAAAAACCAACGTGTCCTGCCCCGATTGTCCGCTCCTTCCGTGTGTCACGCCCCCTCGTTAACCCTGTGTGGAATCCCTGTGTGATCAGCTGCTTCTGGTTGTTGTCATTAGTCCTACTGTATGTATTTCGTCCGCATTTCAGTTTGTTTCCCCAGTTCGGTCATTGTATTGTCCGTCTGCATTTTGCCTGCCTTACCTGTAATTAAACCCCGTATTCCCCGATACCCTGACGTCTGCGCCTTTTTCTCCGTTCCGTCCCCGCTGGGCATGACAATATTATTATAATTAAATGTATTAATGGTTTATTATTAATATTAAAATAATTAATAAGGAATCTTTATTTTTAAATGCATTTTATTATAACATAATAATTACTGTTACTATCTATCAATGTCTAAATATATTTTTACTGTCTAAATATATGTATTCAGCTAGTGTAAACATGCAGGATGCTATCACAGTGAATGCGAGGCTGAGACTGAAGCGTTACCCTTTGTTTCCGCTGAGAGACGTGCCATATGTGTCTCATTTCCCTGCGCCTAGGTCATTTTTTTTTTCAAATTGGTTAGTTCGACTTTTAAGAAATTCGAGTTCTAATGAGTTCGAGAACTGAGGTACCACTGTATTTCTGATACCCATCTGGAACATCCTTTGCCCTGTATAGTGTGTTCTATGTAAAATTTTGTATTGTATTAGCTGCAGGTTGGAGTTCTGACTCATTCTAAAGGTATTCAAGCAAATTTGCCTCCAGAAGTTAGTGTCTGGGATCCCTTTCCCATTTGTGGGTAGGGAGTGAGAGCGTTGTATCAAATTCTGCTAGATACACATATATCCTAGATAGTAGTTTTTTAGTTGGAGTTATTAGGAAGTTTGCTACTTTAGGTGAAAGCTCCAGATCTAATTGCTTACGGCACCATCTATTATGTATTATTGATTTAAGTTGAAGATATTCTAAGTATTTATTTTTCTCAATGCCATAAGTTATTTTGTCAAATGAGATCATGCAGAGATCATCTTGGATTATATGTTCGAGGTGCATGATTCCTTTATTATGCCATGCTGGGAAGTTTATCATCTTCTTTTTATTTAGCAGGATGTCAGGCTTGTTCCAGATGGGTGTCAGTTTGCATGGGACCAGTGAAGTTAGGTTCATTTTAGGAAATTCTCACCAGGCTGTCAGCGATGTGCTGATATTAATGCTCCTAAAACAGCAATGTTGTTTAAGTATATGACTGATACATGGCAAGTCCTGGATTTGAATATTGTTACAGAAAGTTTGCTCGATATCCAGCCAGTTAAGGTCTAAATTGTTTTGCGTCGTCCATTTTAGGACATCAATCTATTGGAAAGAAAGTAGTACAAATTAGGAAGCTCCAAACCCCCACACTTTTTGGGTTTATTTAAAGTTTTTAAACTTAATCGTGGTGGTTTGGATTTCCATATATATTTTGAAATTAAGTAGTCCAGTGATTGGAACCAAGCCAGCGGAGGTTGACTCAGAACCATTGAGAACATGGAGTTAATTTTTGGCAAGATCATCATTTTGATTGTTGCTACTCTTCCCAAAAGTGATGTGGGCAGATTATTCCACTATGCAAGGTCATCATCTATCTTTAAGTAGAGGGCTGTGATTTAATCGCGTCAGAACTGACAGCTTGGCAGAAATGTTTTACTGTTATCTAACCGGGAAGTTATAAAGGCATGGATGGCTTTTCAAAGTTCTCATGAGAAAGAAATACCCTGACCTTAGATAAAAGTTTCAATTGAAAAATGCATGAACTCACAACAGCATTGATCAGTTTCTCAAATTTAAAAAGAATTATCAAAGATCACACCTAGATTTTTGGTGGATGGCCTCTCATATGAAACAAAAGGGCCAAGAGCATCACTGAGAGGAGCTGAGATATCTAAGTGTCGAATACCAATATTTCAGTTTTCTTTTCATTCAGCTGAAGAAAATGTTTTGCCATCCAGGATTTAATACAGTATCATTTAATCTGTCATAGATCAGGTGCGCTGAGTTTCCCTCTACTGGTTTAAGATTAATGGTAACACTTTACTTGATGGGGCAGAAATACTTAGTAATAACACAGTTATTACTGAAGTACAAATTATCAACAAATCATAAACAAATATAGTTGCTTCTGGAGATAAAAGATGTTAGGATTCTTTAATGATGAACAAACATGAGATCAGTATTTCACTTGTGTTATTCATTACTTGTTCCTTCAGTCGTTTACAAAGGTTTACAGAATTAACACATACTGTATAGTAACAACTACGGTAACTGCTTGGGATGAAAGATGCATCATGATTCATTAATGATAAACAAATATAGGATCACTATTTAACTTATTTATTACTTGTTCCTACAGAAGCTCCTTCAGTTGTTCCTTCAATATTTCACAAAGATTGACAAAATAAACAAATACGGCAACAAATGTAGTAACTGCTTGAGATAAGACATGCATCATGATTCCTTAATGATGAATTAACATGAGATAAGTATGTAACTAAGACAAGTAATACTTAAGTAATAGTATAATACTATATTATTTCTGCCCTGTCAAGTGTTACCAGATTCATCAATCAAATGATAAATAAATTAATTAATTAAATCTTAATCTCATACAGACCGCAGATTACAACACCACCTCACATACCATGGATTGTGACACCTCCCTCCCTGACAGGCTTCACTAGCTCTTTGCCTGGTTTGATGTGTCACACGACAACGCAGAGAAGAGCACCCCTCCCACCAATGAACAGACACCCCACCCATCCACAGCGGAAGTGAGGAACACTCTGTGTAACATGAACCCACGTAAGACTGCTGGTCCTGACAATATTCCAGGTGGGGTTCTTAGGGACTGTGCCCATGAGCTCACAGATGGCATGACAGACATCTTTAATACCTCAGTCAGACAAGCATGTATCCCCAACTGCCTATAAACTGCCACAGTCATACGGTGCCTAAGAAGACAGCTGCTCCAGTGTTTAATGATTATCCACCCATATCTCTCACTCCATCATAATGAAGGGCTCTGAGCGGCTGGTCATGTGACACATCAAAGCAAACCTCCCTCTCTCCCTTCATCCATACCAGTTTGCATACCACCCAACTGGCCTGCAGAGGGCGCCATAACCCCGACCCTTCACACCACGCTGACACGCCTGGAGAATAAAGACTGTTATGTAAGGTTACCGTTACCATGGTAATAGTGAACAACAACCAAACCAAAAGCTGCTCCATCTTTGGCAGAAAATGTGACTTTGCCACCAGACCCTGGACTTTCTGACAGAGACCACAGTCTGTCAGGGCAGGAAACATCACTTCTGCTCCCGTCAGTCTGAGCACAGGAACTCCCCCAGGCCGCTGCCTCCGCCCCCTACTATTCACACTGCTGACATCCGCCTGCTCCGCCAAGACCGCCTCTAACCACATCATAAAGTATGCAGACGACAGCAGCATGACGGCCTCATGAGGGGGGAGACGAGTCTGCGTACAGACAGGGGGGGAGAGCTGGTGGAGTGATGCAAGGCCCACAGTCTGCTGCTAAACATCGACAGGAGCGAGGAAGCGACTGTGGGCTTCAGGAGGACCTGGGGGGGCGTGACCCCCTATAGGAAATTTACTTCGGGCTTCAGGCCTCTTTATGTTTCAATAGTCAGATTGTCAGTCTTTAAATGTCTTTCATATTAATATTCTGTTCATCACATTATTGCACTATGACCAACAAGATGGTAATTTCATCATAGTGTGTGACCCATGGAACATACTGCAGAAGATGATAAAGATCCAAATTATCCCACAAAAAAACACAGACCGCTTTCATGACTGAAACTGGTAGGGTCATTTAGCATTTATCTATTTTATGATGAAGCATAAAATGATTCACGGCCAGATTTAAATGAGTTACTTACCTTCAGTGCTGGTTGTGGTTGTAGTTGCCTGATTGACAGTAATATGAACTGGGATCTGATGGTCTCTGTCAGCACACCAGTACCAGCCAGTGTCCTTCCTCTCCAGTCCCCCCATTGTCACACTGAAGACTTTATTTACTCTGTCATCCCTGATCAGGACAGGCCTCCCATCCAAACTCCCAGATCTCTCTGATGCACAGGAGCCCCCGATCTTACACCACAACTTCAGACTGCCACTGTTTCCATAGTGACACTGAACACTGACACTGTCTCCTTCCACACCCGTCACCTCCTGTTTGTCCACTGACAGCCATGTGGAATCTGAACAGGCAGATTAAGAACAAACAACATGATTTTTACACATAAATAAAATATACTATGCATAAAATAAAAGCGAGTTACAGTTAAGGACAAGATTATTAGCCTCCCTATGAAAATCTCATTATTTAAAAAGTGCTGTTAAATAGAGCAAATAATATTTAACATGGCTTTTTTTAGACATCTCAGTTTTATTTTGGATGCTTACGTTATTTTACTTTTCACACAGAAATGAAAATATTCCACAGAAACCAAAAAGTACCATGGTCAAAATTATTAGTACATTGAATATGAATGGTCAATTGTGTATCCTTTTTGTTGGATAACAGCCTGCAGTCGTTTGTTGTAGTTTTCAACAAGTCTCTGACAGGTCATCTGAGGAATCCCAGCCCATTCTTCTTTGGCAAATCTCTCAAGCTCCTCCAGATTTGATGGCCTTCTGGCATGGACCTTCTTCTTTAGTTCACCCCACAGATTTTCTGTTGGATTTAAGTCAGGGCTTTGTGCAGGCCACTCCATTACGTTCACTTTGCTAATAATTTTGTCCTCAACTGTACATGCTTATACCTGTATGAGCCAGGTATGTGTTTAAATTAATGTAACCATACATTTTATAAAAACTAAACAAAATGACAGAGAGCTGGGGGCCGGATACCGAAACCACAAGCCTGGAGGTGTGAGGCCCCCACGCTGCCCCCAGTCTCTACCAGCTAGAGGGTAATTAGCTCCAAACCTGCTGCAGGGTGAAAGACAATAAATTTAAATTGATGTTGCTACTTTTCAATGGTCTCAATCATGCTATTGAACAAAAGTAAAATTTGGAATCTATTCTATACATTTTTAAAATGTTAAAATTTCTCAGCCACCATCAAGCCTGCTCCTCCTGGATCAACCACCACAGGAACGAATGATAAGTGACACGTTACATTACTGTGCATCTCATTGGCTACAGTCTGCAATACAGACATCTTACCATCAGTGACTGACAGGTAAAGTGATGCTTCAGCATCTGAACGTCCACTGATCTTCACACCGCATGAGTACCCATTAGAGTCCTGAACTGTCAGATTGTTGATGGTCACAGTGAAGACTCGCTGGTCAGGATCATCTCTGATTGACACGTTACCCTCCTGTGGAGAGTCACTGTGTACTACGGGAGTACATGACCTCACATTATACCCTCTGCACCAGTATTTCTCATCAGTTTCATATCTGTCCTCATAGAAACATGGGATGGTGACAGATCCTCCTCCCTGTACAGACACGGTTTTCACTGTGGACACACCTGCAGGGACAGTATGAAAATTACCAGGCTGATTAACTCTCACTCCCTCTTACACCATTTATACACATATTAATACAGAGTCAGTATCAGTGCTTCACTTTGCATAATAATAAAATTTGTGTGTTTTAATTAAATATTGTATTCATTACTATTGTCCATCCATCCATCCATCCATCCACACCTGCTTGTCCTATGCAGGGTCATGGGGGTCTACAGACAATCCCAGAAGCTGCAGGCGCAAAGTAGGGAATAACCAGGACATGGGGCCAAACCATCACAGGGTCACTCACACAGCATATGGCAATTCTAATCCACCTCAGCATGTTTTTGGAATGTGGGAAGAACATAAATTTTACATTCATTCTAAACTAAACAAAAGGACATTTCTTAACATATTACGTCATATAAATCATCATGAATTAATCCATTCAAACTGACACTTACATCTCCCAGGTCTCATTTATCATGTTAAACAAAACCTATACAGTGGTATCTCAGTTCTCAAACTCATTACAACTCAAATTTCTTAAAAGTTGAACCAACCAGTTAGAAAAAAAATGACCTAGAACTCGATCTGAATCTTAGAAGTCGAACCGTGAACACCAACCTAAAACAATTTGTACGTGCGGGGAAATGAGTCACGTGCCACGTCTCTCAGCGGAAACAAAGGGTAAGGCGTCAGTCTCAGTATCACATTCGCTGTGATAGCATCGTGCATGTTTACACTAGCTGAATACATATATTTAGACAGTAAAAATACATTTAGACAATGATAGACAGTAAGAGTAATTATTATTATATAATAAAATAAATTTAAAAATAAAGATTTCTTACTAATTATTTTAATATCATTAATAATAAACCATTAATACATTTAATTATAATAATATTGTCATGCTGAGTGAGGACGGATCGGACACAAAGGCGTAGACGTCAGGGTATTGGGGAATCCGGGGTTTAATTACAGGTAAGGCAGGCAAAATGCAGCCGGATAATACAATGACGGAACTGGGGAAACAAACTGAAAAACGGACTAAATACATAGGACTAATGACAACAACCAGAAACAGCTGATCACATGGGGATTCCACACGAGGCTAACGAGGGGGCGTGGGACACGGAAGGAGCGGACGATCGGGCAGGACACATTGGGTTTTTTTTAACTTTACATATTGTTTGGATACATTTATTTTCTTACTTTACAAATTACTGTTTTGATAAATGTGTTTAGAACAGTATATGCTCTTCTTGTTTTCAATTCGATCAGAACTTGAACATTTTAGGATTCAAACCCGAGTTCTGAACGTATTAAGTTCGAATTCTGAGGTACCACTGTGTTTCATCTTGATCTACATAAATAGTTTAATGTTTATATAATTAAATAATTCTTAAGAATTCCTTCCTAAACATCACCATCATTGATGTGTCAAAAAAACCTTTTTGTATTCCTTCTAATTGTATTTTTCACTGGCGGATTCATTCCTATCTTCATTATTCCTTCTTTATTTTGATATAAGATACACTGTAAAAAAAAAGATGTGTTTTTACAGCCAAAGTATTGCAAAAATTAACAGCCAATTTCTGTTTTTTAAAAACACATTTATAGGCCTGTAAATGATCTATTTACTCCTGTATTTTAACAGTGGTATTTTTAATTAACAGAAATTGTCTGTAAATTGATAGAACTTATGATTACTGTTATTTCACAGAGATTACATTTGTTTTAATGAAGTGACCGTTGTTATTACAGATCAAATCCTGTAAATCAGTTTCTTAATAATATGAAAATGGATGGATGGATATCATTACTCATCGTTAGAAAACTTAATCTGTGTCGATTGTGTCAGGCCCGAGAGGAGGCGACGGACGAGACGAGACCGGGGAACAGGACCAGGATGACAAAACCCAAGACATCAACGGGGCACAGGAAACAGGACGGAGACACAGAACAGGAACAGGGACCAGAAGAAAGACAAGACCTGACAAAGGACGGGTAATGCAGAAAGACAAACAGAGAAAGGGGACACAGAGGGGACAGAAAACGGAGGAACAACAGGGCGAGGAGTGAACACAGGATACACCGAGGGAC